TTCGAACACTGCTTCCGAGGAGCACAGGAGTGGCTTCATGGCCACCCCAGCTTTATCCTTACAGCATTGGTTGAGTTCAAAGAGTGAGGGCCTGGCCCAAACTTTAGCTTCATGGCAGAGGTGGGGATTTGAGTCCAGGTATCCTGGATCCGGCTGGGACGTGGGTGGTGCTGTGGTCTAAGCCACTGAGCCTATTGGGCTTGCCTATCAGAAGGTCGGCGGTTCGAATCCCCGCGATGGGGTGAGCTCCCATTGCTCAGTCCCTGCTCCTGCCAACCTAGCAGTTCGAAAACACACCAAAAAATGCAAGTAGATAAATAGGTACCGCTCCGGTGGGAAGGTAAATGGTGTTTCCGTGCACTGCTCTGGTTCGCCAGAAGCGGCTTAGTCAAGCTGGCCACATGACTTGGCAAAACTGTCTGTGAACAAACGCCGGGTCCCTCGGCCTGTAAAGCGAGATGACGGCCGCAACCCCAGAGTCTGTGACTGGACTTAACTGTCAGGGATCTTTTCCCTTTTTATCCTAGATCCACTGCGCTAGGGGTGGCCAGTGTAGTGCTGGATAGCAACACCCTTGAGCGTCAGATAACCGGGCGGGTGGTAGTTGTGTAGTCCTTAAACAACTGCAGGACATGACACTGGCTGCCCCTGCACACCCTACTGCTATGAAGTTTTCCATTTTGCAGATGGACAAGCAGGAAATGTTTGGCACTGGCAGATTTTGGCATCAGGTGTCCCTCCACCCCCACCCCCACAAAGGAGAGAGTGACAAGCCATATTAGAGTTTGAACTTTTGATGAGTCATCCAGGAAGAGATTTCAGTAAGGCAATTCGGTGCAAGATTAAAGCAATGACTTACAGTCCCCAGAGCAGGTAATGTTGCCCGAGGAGGCTGCAGAGAGAAAAAAGAGGAGGTTGAACTCTGGAAGGAGGGAAGTGTGGGCAGGAGGAAGTAAAAGTAATAAGTTGCCTTTGCTTGAACAACGAAAGGTTCTGCCCTTGAGCCCAGGGTTGGGGAACTAGCTGTTCTTCCCCACCCAACTCCCGCCCAAATGCTTGGCTGCAATCCCGATAATCCCCGGCCATTGGCCATTCTGGCTGCGGGTATTTCAACATCAGACAGGCACCAAGTTTGCCACCCCTGCTTCTACAACTGAACATGCTACACTTATCTTGCTAGTGAGTGGATAATGCAAATTAAACAACTAACCATCTCCTGAACGAAAATACAGCCCCCCCCAAAAGACACATACCGTATTTTTCGCCCCATAGGATGCACTTTCCCCCCTCCAAAAATGAAGGGGAAATCTGTGTGCGTCCTATGGGGTGAATGCAGGCTTTCGCTGAAGCTTGGAGAGCGAGAGGGGTCGGTGCACACCAACCCCTCTCGCTCTCCAGGCTTCAGGAAGCTATCAGCAAGCCTGGGGAGCCCGCGGGAGTTCCCGCAGGGCTCCCTAGGCCATGGATAGCAGCCTGCTGCACGGAGCGCGGGGCACACTGAAGCAGAGCGCCCCGTGCTTCAGGCAGATATCCGCAAGCCTGGGGAGCCCGCGGGAGTTCCTGCAGGGCTCCCTAGGCTGCGGATAGCAGCCTGCTGCTTGGAGCACGGAGGGCGCCCCATGCTTCGCGCAGGTGTCCGAAAGCCTTGCGAGCCCGGCAGGAGTTTTTTATATTTTTTTAATTCATTTTTATTCTCCCCCCCCCCAAAAGGAGGTGCGTCCTATGGGCCAGTGCGTCCTATAGGACGAAAAATACGGTACTTGCTGGAATTCATACTGGTATACAAAAAATGTGCATGTTTAATACAAGCGACTGGATAAGTGCATATTTTGGTGTTAATAAACATATTTGGAATTGGATGTAGACCAGGATGAATGTGCAGGCTCTTAATACTACATTTCCTTGAGAGTACCGACATACACACTGCAATGTAATTATTGACTGATATGGCCCTTGTGTGGAATTTGACCCTCATTATTCTCATTCAGTAATTCCTCTTGTGTTGAAGAAGGGAAATATTGCTGTCAAATGAAATTGCTGCCTGCCTAGCTCCCCCCCCTTAGAAAAAGCAGATGTTTAAAAGTGTTGAAATAAATATCAAAATGTTCAGCCTTTATTTCAGCTCAGCTTGCCACAGTTAAGCACGGTGCTTCTTCGGTACAGATGTCCATAAATTGGGTGCAGTCCTATATGCCTACTTACCTAGGAGTAAGTCCCATTGAAGACAGTGGGACTTGCTTACACCCACCCACACCCTATGATTGCACAATTTGTATTTGTATAACAGTAGGAAGTGACTCTTCAGAGGCAGTTTGTATGAACACAGATGTTTACATGTTATTATTTCGTTAAATTAATATTTCAAAGAAAAATACAAAAAAATACAGCATATAATTGTTTCAGTTAAATCTCCTAACATTTGAATACCAGTGCCCCAGTCATAAAGAAAATAGATCTCTCTCTCTCTCTCTCTCTCTCTCTCTCTCATGTTGAGTCCTTACTTGTTACTTTAATTCATCCATTAGTAATAAATCCCAAATTTTGTAAGCCCAGTACCCAACTACAGGCATGTTAATAGATTTCAATTTTTGTGCCATTGCTAAACAAGCAGGCATTTAACACATTTGTGATTTAATTTCTTATGGAAGCATTTTATACCCTCAGAATTAATGTAACACCATGCCACTATTAAGAGATCAAAATTCAACTTTTATTCATAATCTTCTATCTTTTTATTATATTTCTATCCAACCTTTTTCTCCAAGGAGCTCAGAGTGGCGAGCATGGTTCTCCCTTATCTCAGTTAATCTGCACAATAACCCTGTTAGGTTAGGTTGAGAGCCAGTGAGTGGCCCAAGGTCACCCAGTGAGCTTCATAGCCGAGTGGGGATTTGAATCCTGGTCTCAGGTCCTGTTCCAACAAACTTAGTTTCTGGTTTTTACATACACACACTCTCCTCCCCTCCATCCCACTCCCATCAGCCTTGCCTTTTGCTTTGCTGTCATGTTTGTGAGATGTGGGGCTTTCTCCATAGTGGCACCTGCCCTGTGGAATGCCTGATGCAATCTGTCAGATCGCAATGCACTTTTGTTTTTAGGAGGTTGCCAAAAACATGGCTATTCAGAAAGGCTTTTGGTTGAAATTCCTCCCCACGGTTTATTTTTCAATCCTGTTCCTTGTTTTGACTCTTGTTGTTAGTTTATAAAATATTGTGGTTTTATGACGGTTGCAAGGAATAGGGTTTAAGGTTGATTTTTAAATATCGCATGGAATTTTCCACTTTGTTACCCACCTTGAGTTCCGTTCTGGAAAGAAGACAAGGATGTAAGCTTTTAAAGTAAATAAAATGCCTGTCCTTTATTGACTGTGTTAGCCTGTTGAAACAAGCACACATACAATGTTTAATGATTTAGTAGCTGTAATCTTAATGAGCCTCCCCCTGTCCCTATGACTTCATATTTGCAAGTATTTCAGTTGATGAGGAATCTTTGGTGATAGTAAGTGGTTTTTGTTACAGATGTATAAAACCTTTGAGATGTGCTTTAGGGTGAAGATTGGTTGAATGAAAGTGCGTGCTACAAGAACCAGGCTGCTGGTGGTGTTGTTTTCGAGGAGAGGTGCTTATTATGCCAGGCATCTTTGTAATCAGCTGTTAGATCCACAGGACTTACTACACATTGTAGGCCTTGTTGTAGCTTCCAAGGAACAAGGGGTGTCTAGAATGGACTGAATTTCAGTCTGACTTTGTACTGAGGATGACGTCCTTCCCCACTTCATCAATTATTCCAACAATAATAGAAAAGATTTGGCATTGCTGCTAAGCCATGATGGGCCTTCTATAAAAGTTTGTACCCAGTGCCTTTTTCTATTCCAGAACGGATTACCTGAAAAATGTGTACTGGGAGTGTTTGTGAAACAAATATAAAAGTGGTGCAAATTGTTGTTTTAAGTAAAGTTAATCTCCCAAGCAGATGAATGAATGTAATGAATGTAATGACAAATACTTAGCTTGGGGAAATGATAAAAACATTTCCCTCCCAACATGCTGTTTCCATGTGGCGTCCACAGTTGTCCACTTAAGAGAACAAAGTAAGTCTTAAATGTTGACCCCTGATCTAGTAAGTGTATGGAAGCAACCTTTTGCACACGTCGCTGTTGTGATGCTCATCTTCAATGTTGCTGAGCTGGTTGGTTGCATCTTGACATACCTAAAAAGAAATGTGTATCTGGGGCCACCTGTGTTATCTAACTGTTTGCAACGAAATCAGGATTGGTGCTGCTCTTTTCTACATCCACTTGCATAATAGAAACGGAACAAGCAACTTTAAAACCTGCTTTGTGTCTCCCAGTAGAGAAGAACCAAGTATAATGCCATTATTTAAATCTCTGGCAGAACTATCTTTAGAATACTGTGCATAGTACTGTCATCCCATCTAAACAAAGAGCTGAAAAAGGGAGAGGGAGGCAATTAAAATGATCAAGGGCTTGGAGCACTTTCCCATGAAGAAAGGTTAAAGAGTTTTTAGGGCTTCTTTATCAAAAGGGAGGGACACACTAAAGGAACTTTGATGAGCAGGGTTGGGGAAACTGGTCCTACTGCCGTCAGCCCCTAGGCATATGGCCAGTAATCAGGAATGGTGGGAAGTATGGTCCAACATCTGGAGAGCCACAGGTTCTCTTTTGTGTTCTGTCATATCCCCTTCTTGCTTTCCTCCCCCTTAATGAAAATCCCTAATAACTCTTCAGCCTTTCCTCCTCGGAAAGGCAGTGATAGAGATTTATAGAATTATAGATAGATTGGTAAAAGCAGTTTGGATTAAAAATGGTTGATCAATACTAGAACTTGAGGACATTTAATTATATTGATTGATAGTAGGTTCTGTTTCATATCAGATCAAGTCTTATCAAAGGCTCTAATAATTAAATTGAACCTTCTCTTTCAGTGGGAGTCAACCTCTGATATGAGATAATTGGGATAAAATGGAATGGCTGTCCTCATGCTGGATAGCTCAGTTGGTTAGAGTGTGGTGCTGATAATGCCAAGGTTAGAAGTTCAATCCCTGTATGGGACAGCTGCATATTCCTGCGTTGCTAGGGTTGAACTAGATGACTCTCAGGGTCCCTTCCAACTCTATGATCTATGATCCTCTTGTCAGCATTTGGTTGGCCACTGGAAATAGGATACTGGATTTGAAGGACCTTGATCTTATCTAGTAAGGCCATGTGTGTGTGATGTTTCATTTCATGGAATTTTCAGATTCTGAGGGGCATCTCAAGCCATAATCTGAACTAACCAGACACTCTTAATTTTGGCTGGGGGAGCAGAGGAACAGCTTTACTAAGTTCATACTTTTGGAACACAAGACTTCCAAAAATCCCAAAACAACTCAAAGGCTTAACTGGAACGTCTCTTTCTTACCCTGCATCTAAGTAGAATGAAGCAGTGGTGGGTAGCGTGTCAAACTAACTCGAGAAGACCTGAGTCCAAACCCCCACTCACCTGTTAAGCTCATTATATGACCTTGGACTAGGTCATCACCTTGGGAGAAGGGGGAGAACAGTATATTGTGCCTTCGGCTCCTTGCTGGGAAAGGCAGAGTATCAATAAATAATAGTATGTAATTAGATCAAGCTAAACGTAGGAGATGGGCAGTACAGATGCTTTGCTTGCAGCCAGGGAAGAGACCTTTAAAGGAATTGGCTTGAGCTTCTGATAACTGAACAAATTCCGCCCTCCACCCCCAAAATACGACTGCTTTTGGTGTTCTTTGATTTGATTCAGGGTCAAGACAACTGAAAGGCTTTAGGTGTGGGGTTGGTTCTGATTCACTGGGTGAAAGAAAAATATATATCCCTGGACTGGTTTTGTGGTTGGGTTTACCTTTGGCTCACTGCTTATCACCACATTCCTGTAGTAGCAGTATCAGCTTTGAGTCTTGCCTGCATTGCAGGGCTCCCTGCATGGTGTGAAGTGCCACACTATATTTTGCCCCCATCCTTACTCCACAGTCTGCCTCTCCATTTGTACTTTCCCCAGCCTATTGACTGCCCATTCTTACTGCATTTATCCAGTAGCTGGTTGTCCCTTTCTTTGTTCCTGCTTATCACACTGCTGTTCTTTTTGCTCACTATGTCTGCCACACCACGAGGTCTTGCTACTTCTGTGCATGGTGCTTTGCATACCCTTTCAGTGGAACCTGAGGTGTGACCTGCTGGGGTTGGAGAAAATACATTCTTGCGCCATGATTTTGCTTTAGCAAAGAAGAAGAAGAAGAAGAAAGCATTATGCACTGTAATTGACTTGATGCTGAAGCTGCACTGATTTCTGTGCTTCTAACACTTTCCCTCCTCTCTCTTTCTCTCCCTGCTTTCTTTCTAGGCTGCCCTCTGGCGAGGCAGTTGGAAACAGCAGAGCTGGCCTCTGCAACGGGAGAGGCTGGAGTTCCCGTCTCTCTGTGCTGAATGGCTACTATGGCGCCCGCTCTCACTGACGCAGCAGCTGAAGCTCACCACATCCGGTTCAAACTGGCTCCCCCGTCCTCCGCCCTGTCTCCTGGCAGTGCCGAAAACAACGGCAACGCCAACAACATCCTTGTCGCCACCAACGGCACCAAGAGGAAAGCCGAGGATTCGAGCCTAGACTTCCGAAATAACTCTGCGAAGGAGGAGCTGGGAAAGCTGCAGCCCCTGGTGACGTCTTACCTCTGCTCGGATGTGACTTCGGTTCCTCCGAAGGAGTCTCTGAAGCTGCAAGGGGTCTTCAACAAACAGACAGTCCTGAAGTCTCACTCTCTGTTGTCTCAGTCCTTCTTGAAAACTAGCGACCTCTTGGGGAGGCAACCTGTGTTGGAGCTGTCCTTGGAAAACCTAAAAACCATGAGTACTAGTAGCCCAACTCCTCTGCCGCAAGCACCCGTCAATGGCTTGGCTAAAAAGTTGGCTAAGAGCAACAGCTCCGATCATGAAAACTCTGCTTCGCTCAACGGCGGGAAGCGTGTTCCTCCTGCTGCGACCCTCCAGGATGTTGATTCTAGTAGCCCTGGGGGGTCTGATTTGGGGGACCTGAAATCTGGTTTGACCAACTGCACTCTTCCACACAGAAGCCTTGATGCAGAGCATACCGCTCCCCTTAGCAATAATGGCACTGCAAGTAAGCGGAGCCACAGTTCCCCAGAGCAGCAGCATGGGCTTGAAGGGGGTGGAGAGAACAGGCTGTTGCCATTATCTGGTGTGCCTGCTTGCTCCAATCTGGGGAGCAGCAAACCAGAAGAGCAGAAGATCTCCCTGCCGAGCAATTCCTTCAGCACCCTAGATTCAGATACGAGGACGAGGGTGCTGCTGCGGCGGCAGGCGGACATTGAGAACCGGGCTCGCAGGCTGCAGAAGCGCTTGCAGGTGGTGCAGGCGAAGCAAGTGGAGCGGCACATCCAGCAGCAGCTGGGAGGCTTCTTGGAGAAGACTCTGAGCAAGCTGCCGGCTTTGGACTCCCTGAGACACAGAAGTCAGCTGATGCTGACCCGCAAGGCGGAAGCTGCCTTGAGGAAAGCTGCCAGCGAGACGAGTACCTCAGAGGGCCTGAGCAGCTTCCTAAAAAGTGACTCCATCTCAGAAGAACTGGAGAGGTTTACCGCCAGCGGGATGGCTAACCTGCGGTCCTGCGAGCAGGCGTTTGACTCCGACGTGACGGACAGCAGCTCGGGTGGGGAGTCTGATATTGAAGAGGAGGAACTGACCAAAGCAGACACTGAACAGCACCATGTACCACTGTGAGTAGCAACAGGTGTATTTACTTCCAAGTAAGGAAGGACCAGCAACAAAAATTAACCAGATAGGGATAAAACAGAGGTTTTTGTTCTTTTCAAAGTTAAGTCAGAAGCAGTAGGAAAGTTTATGCCATCATAAATTGGTTAGTTTCAAAGGTGCCACAATACTTTTTCTTTTTGCAGTAGGAAGATTAGGTATGAGAGTGATGGTGATATAAACTCAATTAATTATGCTTGACTGGAAGGGATAGCATCACCTCCTCATCTTTAACTCCACGATAGGGATTAAGGCCGCCAAGAACTCCAGCCACCTTCACTCGTCTGCCTTTTATCAAAGGCAGGAAGCGCTAATTTTTCCCCCCTCTACTTGCTCCCATCTACTCCAGCTCCCTGGTCTTTCACAACATACATTGTGAAATATTGCTTATAGTTTTGTTCAGAGATAGGACCATGCCTCTGCCTGCTGGAACAGCAAAGGTGGTCTCTAGAAATAGCTCCTTCAGGGCAAGACAGAGGTTGTTGGTGTGAAGTTGTCCCTGCTGTCTGAGTCCAGGCTTTCTGTTGGTACAAATTTAAAATCATTCCAGCCCTGTTTGGTGAAAACTGAGGCCTTTTCTCTGGCAACTTGGGGAATATTGATGCATGAATGACTTATGAGATGTGAGAATTCCTTTTGCAACCAGGGATCTACAGCTTGTTTGCTAAACAAATAGTAAGAGATAGGATCAAAGATCTATTATGTCTTGCACTGGAGATGGGGAAGGGGAAGGGAGGGGGTAAGTAGGGTGTGGGGGATCTTGCTGAAAGCAAGAGGTGTCTCTGGAATTGGAGAAGGCGTGGAAGGAAATGGGGTAGGCTTCAGGTGTTGAAAGTAATGGCTGTGAAGTGGTAACAACTGGTTAAAGGAGCAGTAAAATGCAACTGAGCAGCATATTGTGCCCTTTTCTTTGTGTCTGCATTCATTTGGGGTCCCCCCTCTATTTAATAGGAATTCCTGTGTAGACATTGCTGTCTGGTATTTACCCCTGAGCTGGTCCAAAGCTCTCACAAATAATGTGCTAGTTAAAATCCTTCCGTCCTGGGTCAGTGCTTATCATTGCCCTGGATCGGCTGGAGACAATGCCTTAATTATTTTGTGAATGAAATAATACTAGAGCTGTGGATTGGAAAAGGCTGCGCCTTCATCTTATCAGCGCCTTGTGATAAATTAAATTGGGGGTGTTGCTGTCTGGCCATTCATTGAAAGTTCCAGTGTCTCCAGGAGCTAGCCTTGCCTGTGCACGTGTCTCTTCCCTACGCAACACAGAAAATCTGCCTCAGGTCTTCTGATTATCAAGATAATACAGACTATGTCAGGGTCTTACAATGGATTAAGTCTTGTCTGGTAGGGGTGATCAGACTACAGCCTTGTGGGTCCTGCTCTCTCTTTTTAATTAGCTAGAGATCCAGGGTTTACAAGGAAGTGGCATTGTGGGAGAATGGAGCCAGTCACAAAATGGTGGCTCAAGATGCAGGACCAGGTACATCAGAGTCTGCGCTCACAGGAAAGGCTGGGTTCATGCGTGCGCAGCCGTTGCACATGTTTACAAGTCCCCTGTTGTCTCACAATGCCACCCACTTACGATGTGAGGCTACATATTAACCTAACATAAACACAGCACAACTGTGTCATCAGTATAAATCAAGAACTACCAAGTGTAGGCAGTGTAGATAAGTTAACATAAAGAAGACCAAATGTTCCAAGTCACATGTATAACATAACTCTTGCACATATAGACAGACAGACTTAATTGCATTGTTGAAGGAATTCAGAAAATGCAAAGAGATGGAGAGGCAGGAGGCTGCTCTGGCAGCTGTGGCCTCCGTTATGAAGAGCGTAATGATGGTGTTGTGTTGTGTAGTGAAGCTGTAGAGAGCAGAGGCTTCCCCAGCATGCAGAGCAGTGTCTGCGCTGAGGCTGGCTGGAAAGAAAATAGCCCAACTGTCTGCTCTTAAAACAGCATTGCCCTGGGCTGTGTGGCTGGGACCAGAACTCTTCTCCCCATGCATAGGCGCTCATGAATGCAGGGATGCAAAAGAAAGGAGGAGAGCAGGGGATGAGAATAAAAAGCAAAATTTACAACTTAATTCCTGTGCTGATCATGCACACATGATTTGAGTGGTCAACCAGTGGATTGCAACTGGCATTCCTGTAGCCAGTGGGTAGGCAAACTAAGGCCTGGGGGCCGGATCCGGCCCAATTGCCTTCTAAATCCGGCCCACAGACGTTCCAGGAATCAGTGTGTTTTTACGCGAGTAGAATGTGTCCTTTTATT